GCTATCGGGCAGAGCCTTTGATCCCGCTGCGATCCCCCGATCAGACACCGGAGCGCTCGCATCGTCGTGACCCCAGTCTGAGCGGCTCCGCGAGCCCCTCGCTGGCGCACGCACGACTCAGCCGGGAGCTGGATCGCCGCCACAGTCTGCGCGCAGCTGCAACCCAAGGCACGACCGTCTCAGCTAATGGACGACGGGTGTTCCGAGGCTCTCACACTCGAACCCTGTCCTTGCTGTCGCCGGTGTCTGTCTCTGGGGACGGCAGGGCCGCATCGGAGTCGGAGACTAATTCTGTGAATGGTCGTATCGGCCGGTCTCCCCGGTCAGCCACTCTGCCGTCGTCTGTTGAGCGCAGTGCAGGTTCCGGCGACTCCTCCAAGCCCACCGAGGACATGATCGCGCAGTGGCGAAACACCATGCCTCCTCCGTCTCGTGAGGCGCTGATGCGCACCGGCAAGCAGATGGCGTCCGACCTGCGAGAGGGACTCTGGACATTCTTGGAGGATATCCGACAAGCGACCGTGGGAGAAGAGGGCATCAGTGCGACCGAATCCCGGGGCGTACCTCCTGTACGCAAGCGGGATTCATCCAGCTCGACATCGCGAAGCAGAGACCGGTTATCCATGCAGGGGGGCAGAACGTCACGCTCGGGGACGAATTATTCTGGTAAAGACTCCAACTCGGCGGACATTGACGCGTCGTTCTGGAGTGAATTCGGCATTGATACAGCTGGGCAGAAGTCCCGGAGCGCTCGCGGAGCCTCCAGTACCCCAAGCGGGCGGATCGAACAGGGCGACTCCCACATCCCCGATGTTGAAGACAACTGGGAGTGGGACTCGCCGAAGAAGACACACACGCCGTCGTCCAGCCGCTCCACGTTGGAGTCGAAGCAGGACCAGTCGCCGATGACGCAGAGCAGCAGTCCACGTACAAGTACCAGGTAGGTCCTAACCAGTGTTTATATCTTTCGTAGGCATCTGTCCTCGTCTTGGCCCTCGACAGTGATACGCTGACTGGCACTAGTTTTGGCGACTGGCGCGCCCTGCACGAGTCCATTGTTCCCGATCCCAGCGTATCCGACGGTATCCCTTGGCCAGCCATTACCAAGCTGGCGCCCTCGAAGTTGACCCGGACCGCGTCCAACCTGATGGCCGAATGGGAGCGCAGTCTCTCCCCCGAACGAAAGGAACCCTATTCGCCGATTGACAAGGACGACAAGCGTGACTGATTGCTCGATTACTCTGAATATGCCGTTTGATTACGGCTTGCGATTATTTCTTCCAATGCTATTGTAAATATGGACACGATATGTGCGACCAAGCAGAGACCGACGGATTAACGCAGGGTTATGAATGTTGCAATACCCTTTACGATGAGCGTTGATTTCACTCTTTACCTTCTTGCATGTTTTAGAATGTATTTATGTCAGAATGTACTGGCTGTTAAAAACAATTACTTATTGCCTAGATTTAAAGTATCTTGCTCTGTATTAGTAGGGGTAGTTGGTATAGTATCGTATAATCCCGGGATATCACGTGACACTGCAACTCTGGCACGTCCCGCGTCCCGTAAAAATAAATTTGCGCCTGTCGCCATCTCCGCAAAAAGTCCGGGGGATGCGATAATCGGCCGTCTGTCTGTCTACACCACTCACTACCACCGTGTCGCGGAGCTCCTCCACCACTCCAGCCTCCATATCAACCTTTCTCGAGCTCCACTACATACCTCAGACACTAAAACAACATACACAATGAACCCCGCTGGCATGACCACGCCGATGGGCGGCCTCGGCGGCGCCCCCGGCGCAGCAGGACCCAACATGCAGGGTATGAGTGAGCAAGAACAAGCCATGGTGAAGATGGTACGCCTCCTCTCCTTACCCTTACCCTCTCCCTTTCACATCAGAAAACCAAGCTAACACAATAATTATGATGATAGATGTACTCCGCCATGGAATCCTGCCCCATGAAGACCGTCATGGCCGGAACAATGGGTTTCGGTCTGGGTGGTGTATTCGGTTTGTTCATGGCTAGCGTACGCCTGCCCCCATCCCTAACCCCATACCTTTCCATCTCCCAAACCAAACCAAACTAACAGATACATGGTATATGTGTAGATGTCCTACGACTCCACCTTCACCCCGCAAGGCAAAGCGATCGCCGACCTCCCCTGGAAAGAGCAAGTGCGGAGGGGATTTAAAGACATGGGCCAGCGGTCATGGTCTAGCGCGAAGAACTTCGGTGTCGTGGGTGCGCTGTACTCCGGCACTGAGTGCTGTATTGAGGGCTTGCGGGCCAAGAATGATCTTACGAATTCGGTCGCTGCGGGTTGCATTACTGGTGGGATTCTGGGTGCGAAGGCTGGTCCCCAGGCTGCGGCGGCGGGGTGTGCGGGCTTTGCGGCGTTCAGTGCTGCGATTGATGCTTATATGAGGATGCCGGAGAAGGATGATTGAATTAATTCCCGAGTCTCCGAAGGAGAGAATGGGTGAGGTGGGGAAGAAAGGGAGGGTGTAATGTGGGTTGTGTTTGTTTTCATGGGTGGCGTTCGGGTTGGGTGCATTTCATGGCGTTTAACTTTACTTTACTTTACTTCTATTTCGGATGATGTTGATTGATTGATGTTGATAGACTTCATGGTTTGAGGTATGTGGTTTGTGGGAGAGGGATGGGGATGGATGGATGGATGTATGGTCTTGACTCGACTCATTGTATAATATTACTACTGTGTATAGATAGAATAGATCTCTTTGCAGCGGTGTTACTACTCGTATAGTAGTGGACTGGTAAATGTAGACTAGCTGTCACTAAAATTATATTCTTAGATTGTAGTATCGAAGTATGCAATGACGTCAAGTCAACAATGATATACATATAGAGGTCCTACTAGTACCGCTTATATATTTATCATTGAATAGCGACTAGTAAACTATGTCTGACTGTTGGCAAGTCGTTGTAACGGTAGATAACTCTGTATATACTTTGGCTATTTTTACGACATGATTCCTGGGCGGGATGATGCCATGGGCCAACTATGTTCAACCAGTCTATTATAGTACTTGTAAGTCGGTATTGATTTTGAAAGGTAGGTACTAAGTAGTGTAGGGATTATGGAGGACTTTGGGTTTCGGTAGTTCACCTACTAGTATACATCATGTTGGAGACTTGGAGTTGGGTGTGGTGTGGATATATATATACAACTACTATATACTAGTGGGTCATGGGTAGTATCATCATGAGTCCCATTGGAGTAGTACTACTACTACTACTACTAATACTATGAGGCTGAGTTGGAAGAGTCCGTTCTAGCATACATCATGTCTATTCACAATTTGTCTGATTTACATCCTAAGGCAGCACAACATAGCGCTCCAAATGCTTCGGCACCGCGCCACGCAGTCCCTTCGTCTGCAGCCACGTGTTGGAGAACAACCGGTCCGCATAGCGGTAAGCACCATCACACAAGATAGTAACAACCGTGTTACCCCTGCCCAGCTTCTTCGCCACTTCCTGCGCGGCCACCACATTCAACGCCGAGCTGGCACCGAGGTACAGACCCTCCTCATCCAAGCAGCGGTACACCATCTCGATCGACTTCTCGTCAGGGATGTTAAGCGATCCGTCCAGCAGACCAATATCCGGCTGCAGGTTATCCGTGACACGACCCTGGCCAATACCCTCAGTGATACTGCTACCGGAGCGCTCGACTAAGTTCCCACCGCTCTGGATATAGCTGTGCAACACACTACCCGGAGGATCGGCAAGGAAACACTTGACCTTCCCGTCACTGACAGTCTTCAAGTAGCGCGTAATACCAGCCAAAGTACCACCGGTACCCGTAGCACAAGTGAAAGCATCAACCTGACCGTTCGTCTGCGCCCAGATCTCCGGACCGGTCGTCTCGATATGCGCCTGGCGGTTGGCGGTGTTGTCGAACTGGTTAGTCCAGACAGCGTTGTCCAGGGACTCGGCGTGCCGACGTGCCTGGTGGTTGTAGTTCTGCGGGTTGTCGAATGCGACAGCGGGGACGGGGTACACTTCGGCGCCGAGGAGACGCAGCAGGTCGATCTTGCCCTGCGATTGGGTGTTGGGCATGTAAATGACGAGCTTGTAGCCCTTGGAGCGACAAACGTGCGCGAGTCCGATTCCGGTGTTTCCCGCCGTGCCTTCCACTACCGTACCGCCGGGCTTCAGGAGGCCCTTTCGCTCGGCATCCTCGACGACGAACAGAGCTGCGCGGTCCTTGACGCTGCCTCCGGGGTTCTGGAACTCGGCTTTGCCGAGGATGTTGCAGCCGGTTTCTTCGGAGAGCTTCTTCAGTCGGATCAGGGGGGTGTTGCCGATTGCTGCGGAGGGGGGGGGGGGGTTAGTTATGCGGTTGAGTTGCGGGTGGTAGTAGTCCGGTATGGGTGCATATACCTTCCGTGAGGCCATTGGTGAAGCCCTGGGCTTTGGATACCCGGACATTGTAGGAGGTTGTGGACGCCTCCGCGGCGCGGAGGGCCGTTGTGCCGAATCGACGGATACTCTGACGAAACATGCTGTCAATGGCTCGCTAATTGTCAAACCCAGAACGCCTGGATGCTGAGGGAGGAACGCAGCGATTCCCCAGATTGTCCGCATGCCGATGATCGGTGTTAGTAAGCTACGTCACGTGGTCGATGGCGTGATTGCTTTCACTGCCTTGACTGGAGATTCCATGATGGAGCTGACATTGGCACCTGTATTGTATTGTGTTTGTATGTTGATGGCCGTGAAAAGGATAATGTTTAGCCCAGTCTTGTGCATGTTCAGTGTAATGACATCACATTCAGTGTGAACTGCATGTTTCTCGTACAGCCCAGTGATCTTCTGTAGATTGAACCACGTGCAGCCCTAGCCCTTATCAGACTTCCCGTTTGGGCTGTTTGTTTATCCAGCCCCGTGACAGCCTCCGCAATGTTTGGATCGGAACAGCATCAGTCTTTCTCCTGAACACATCGAACTCTTGCACACGCCAGACACGCTTGGGACGGACGACGCGTTAAGATCCATCGATGCAACTGATTTAGGATGATTTATGACAACTATTGACTCCCGACCCCTTACTGAACTGTCTGAGACGAGACATCTACCCCGCCATTGAGCCACCATGCCTGGCCGATCCGCCCGTTCAACGTCCACCGCCACGCGCAAGACCTCCGCTCAGCCCTCGCGCGCAGGCTCAGTGACCCCGTCTTTCACTATCCCCGAGGAGCCTTCACTTCCAGAGGCTATTCCCACTTTGCGCCGCGATGTATGCTCTCTTTTCGCCGATGCGCAGCGCTCGACAACCGGGCATCGGAAACTCGTCGTCCGACTGAGGAAGCTCCAAGAAGCTTGCTGCGGCATATCCCAGAAGAGCTCCAAGAAGGATGGCAACAAGTCCCAGGCAGAGTGGACGCTTCCTATGGAAGAGACCCTGCCTGAGACAGAGTTTAACACGGAAGTCGGCCGTTGCGTTCTGCGCATTCTCCCTATCAAGAAATCAGAGCCGGTCGGAGACCGCATCCTACGCTTTCTCGGCGCATTCCTGGCATTGGCTTCCGAGAAGGATGCAGAGCTGTATGCTGCAGATGATGATGACGAAGATATGCAAAATTCGCCCGAAACGCCAACTTCCCGCTTGACGACCAGTCTGATCAACATGATCGTTCCCTTATTAGCAACAAAAGACAAGACGGTCCGCTTTCGTGCCACCCAAATCATCGCCCACATTGTCAACTCCCTCGAAACGATAGACGACGACCAATATCACGCCATTCGCGGCGGTCTTGTGAAGCGCATTCGAGACAAGGAGCCTGCCGTAAGAGTGCAGGCTGTCATGGGACTTGGCCGTCTCGCAGGCAACGATGACGAAGATGACGATGACAGCAAGGCCGTGCTCGAGCGACTCATCGATATTATGCAGAATGATACCAGTGCCGATGTACGAAAGACCCTACTTATCAACCTCCCTCTGGTGCCGGGTACCCTGAAATATCTCCTGGAACGAGCCCGCGATCTCGATGCCGCCACTCGACGTGCCTTGTACTCGCGTCTTCTTCCCACCCTTGGTGACTTCCGGCATTTGTCGCTGTCTATGCGAGAGAAGCTTCTTCGATGGGGTCTTCGTGACCGTGACGAGAGCGTTCGCAAAGCCACGGGTAAATTGTTCTACGACCGCTGGGTTGAAGACTGCGCTGGCACCAACAACGACCCCGAAGCCGGACCTACAGGCCAACGCTCCCCACCGAACTTCAACGGGCTGCTTGAGCTCCTCGAAAGAATTGATGTTGTCAACTCCGGAGTAGAGTCTGGAATTGCACACGAAGCCATGCGTAGCTTCTGGGAAGGTCGCCCGGATTATCGGGAGGCGGTTGTTTTCGACGAGCCTTTCTGGGAGAACCTTACCGCAGAATCGGCCTTCATGATCCGGTCTTTCAGCGACTTCTGCCGCGTTGAGAATGAAGGGAAGTACGACAAGCTTGCAGACGAGAAGATGCCCGAAGTTACAGCCCTTGCGTTTTACCTACACAAGTACATGACCGACCTGTTGCAGCGGAAGAAGATCGCCAAAGAGACCGGTGATGCCAATGATGACGATTCCGTGGAGCAAGAATTTATCGTGGAACAGTTGCTGCATATCTCCATGACTCTGGACTATAGTGATGAAGTTGGACGGCGCAAGATGTTCTCCCTACTGCGTGAGTCGCTTGCCGTACCGGAACTCCCTCAGGAGTGCACCAAGCTTGCTGTCGAGACCCTGCGATGTGTTTGCGGCCCCAACGCTGCTGCTGAAAAGGAATTCTGTAGCGTTGTTCTGGAAGCCATTGCTGAAGTCCACGACACTATTGTGACTGAGGACAGCTTCGTGTCTGCAAGGTCAGAAATCAGCGATGCCAGCTCCACCCGCCACCGATCCGAGACCCCTCAGTCCGAAGAAGAGAAGCCTTTCAACAAAGAGGAGGCTAAAGCGAAAGTACTGAAGGAGATCATGGTCAACATGAAATGTCTGCACATTGCGCAGTGCATGCTGCAGAATGTCGAGGGCAACCTCCAGGCCAACATGAACTTGGTGACTATGCTTAACAACCTCGTCGTGCCTGCCGTTCGAAGCCACGAGGCCCCTATCCGTGAGAGAGGTCTTGAGTGTCTGGGTCTTTGCTGTCTACTCGATAAGGTAGGAACTATTATATGAAGTGCTTACAATGGTCTACTAACGATTCTACAGACTCTGGCTGAGGAGAACATGACTCTCTTCATCCACTGCTTCAGCAAGGGCCACGAGGCTTTGCAGGTGACTGCCATCCACATCTTGTGTGATATGCTGACAACGCATCCCACGCTGCTTGTGCCTGTGGAACAAGATGACGGTGAGACCGTGGCGCCGCCAGTTTTCCAGAAGCCATTGTTGAAGGTTTTTGCTCGGTCGCTGAAGTCCAGCTCGCCTAACAGCGTGCAAACAGCTGCCGCTACAGCGCTCTCGAAATTGTTGCTCACAAACACGTTCACACCAGCGGGGGCGAACATCCCCCCGGCCATTCAGGAATATAACCAGACTTCCGTCGAGACTCTCCTGCAGTCACTTATCCTTTCCTTCTTCCATCCTCGTACTCGGGACAACCCTGCGCTGAGACAGGCCTTGGCCTACTTCTTCCCCGTGTATTGCCATTCACGACTGGAAAACACCCAGCACATGCGAAAGGTCGCGGTTCCTGTGATCCGGGCCACGCTGAATGCCGCCGAAGAATATTACTCGCTCGAGGCTGAGGAAGACAGTGACGGTGATATTGATGAGTCGGTGGGCCAGCGGGAGCTGAAGGCATTGATGACCGGCGTTGTGGGTATGCTGGCTGAGTGGACTGATGAGCGGCGGGTTGTCGGATTGGGCGGGGAGAGGATTCTTGCGGGTGGTCCGGCCAACGCCAATGCTTGCGGTTTTGTCCACCTCGCCCTGGTCAAGGATATCCTCGAGCGGGTGCTAGGAATTAGCACCGGCACCAACCGTTGCTCCAAGGAAGAGAAGAAGCTGCTCTTCTCCCTTATGAGCAAGCTCTATATCGCTCCTCCGGTCGTTCCCTCGCGGTCTGGGTCCCGGGCTCCTGAAGGCGAGGATCCGTTCAGTTCCAGCGTTCGCAGTGCGCAGGCGGAAATTACGCCGGAGAATAAGGAACTGGCGCAGGGGGTGAAGGAGCTGCTGGATGAGGCGATCGAGGAAGGCGTGGCCGCCGAGGCCGCCGGGCGGAACGCGCTCGTCAAGGTCAAGAACGCGGTCCTCAAGCTTCTGGCCGCGGCTCATGGGGGACGCCCGACCAGCGGGCGAGCCCGTGAAGGCATGGAAGAAGGCGATAGCGATGTTATGAGCGTGCGGTCGAACATGAGCGTCCGGTCTGGTAGTGTACGACCATCCATTGAGCCCGGGACCATGCGGCGGGGCTTCTCACTGGAGCCAAGTATTATCGAAGAAGAGGATGAGAACGACGATAGCCGGACCACGATCGTGAAGTCGGAAGGTCAGGATGACGATTAAATCCGAAGATAGTTGGACATGGGATTGGGAAAGGCGTTTGAGAAAGGTTTCACCCGGTGCGTTGGGATGGGTTGGCTTGACATGGGACGGGCCGTGTAGTTAGGTGTTTGGTTACGAGTGTACATGATGTTTATAGTTGGTTGACACTTAATTTCATGATGATATTTGCTACGTATGGTTGGTGGGCTATACCGGTACATAGGCGGAGATTGTACGGGCAACGTCAGCCTGGCCCATGGCTGGCTTAGTACTTGTGACTGGGGGGAAAGGGAATCGTGTGATCTGGAACGTGGACCAGGTGGTAGCTTAGGCGCTAGTGGCAGTTTTAGACCGGGATGAGGTGGAATTAGTACTGTCATGGCCTGATATGGATGGCGCGTGGTGATAAGTCCGTCGGGATTTGGGGGAGTGAAATGTCGCAGCCGGGAAGTAAGTACTGTAGGTAAGTAGGCCTAGTCTATCGGTCGAGAATATGGTACTGTCTTCCTCAATGAATCGGTAGAGTAGCACCGTATCCTCGTTTAATTGGTTACTCTGTATATATATGATACTAATTGCAAGGCACATCAAACAATTGAAACTCTCCCTTTGATCATCATTCTCATGAAGTTACTCCGTGTTTGTTGGTAATTAAACAATTAATTCAGACAGAACCCAATCACGGAATCCCTCGCCCAGCAACTTTCAATCTTTCGGATGCGAAATCTGGCGGATAGTGGGCCCTTCCACTTCCTCTCATTGGGCCATCGCCCACAGGCACCTCCACGGAAACACTCGCGTTTTTCTCCTCTCACATTTTTTTTTCTCCCTTTTTTCCCTTATGCTTTGGTTGTGGAACAGATCGAATAAATCCATTCAATTGACTTTGCTTTGACATTTCATCCTTTTGCCGCCCCTCCTTCTCCTTCCCACCCCCAAACCTGGCACGGCCATATTAGTATCTGGGCACGCACAGAGCAACTTGGATAGTAGTAGATAGTTACTAGTAGTTGTAGTTTGTTAGACATGTAGACTACGTAAAGTTAGTAGGTACTTTATACTTACTGTTATTGCCACGCTACTTTACTACTTCCTCTTCATGCCGTTAGTAACAACATTATCATCATCATTACTTGTTTCTTGCTTGACCTTTGCTGCCTGGAGGAGAAAATATATCCAGGGTTTAAGGTTAATGGGAATGGATCAGCCTTGGGGGAGTCGAGCTTTCCCTTTTGGCGGCGGGCGTCGGGTCGGAGATACCGTCAAGAACAAAAAAGTACGGGTTTCACTCCGGACATTCCATTCCACACACTCTCTAATCTGTGTCTGTCATTGTGATTCGGTACTATTACTATTTATATTTAGTTGTGCCATGAAGGGAGGAGGAGAAGGAGAGAGAGAGCCTGGGGAATGATCCGACATTCCAGAGACACGATTCAATGGGGGGTGAGATGTTCTATCATTGGCTCTGGGGGGTTCACGGTGATCGGGATGGTTCGTTGATTTGACAGGTGATTATCGTAGTCAGTAATATTAATTATTATTTAGACTGTTCCGTCGTGTTCAATGTGTTGGTAAAGTATGGCGAATGTCGGGTGTGTGTGTATGTATGTGTGTCAATTAACCAACTTTGAATCAATGATTCTTTGCAGCGGTGTCATATTTGGTTGTGTTCTGACCAGACCGACAGATACAGATACAGATACAGATAGACACCTTGGGGGAGAAGTGAAAGAATAAATAGTAGCAATGACTGATTATACCGCTGGGAAGACAACTAAGAGAGGCTGTTGTACCAGACCTGTCATACAATACGGTAAACGGTCAGTCGTGGGATGTATCGAGTTAGTTAGTACTCCGTAGTAAGTAGTGTATCCTCTTTCTCTCTCCCCCGTGGAAATTCTCAGGAGAGGAAACCAGATAGTAAAATATATTCGATTGTTCCGAACTCCCACCACCACAAAAAAAAAAAAAGAAGGCTGTGAAGTTCGGAATTTGTGTAGTAAATCAGGAAAGGAATTGATTTCAATCCTTTCAATAATTCTCATATATAATCAATCACTAAACCAGTCGGCGTTGACCCGTAGACGCCGTCCAGTTGGGCCAGGATCCCCTCGAAGCCGAAACTTTTCTTTTAATCTCGACGCTCCACCACCAGAAAAGCGAACTTGTCCTGCTTTCCCATCCTGGCCTGGGGACTTTCTTTTTCCTTCCTTCCCTTCTTCCCTTTCGATCTTCTGCTTTCTCCTCCTCCTCCTCCCCCTCCTCCGTTCTCTCCTCTTTCTTCCTCTTTCCCTTCCCCCCCGTGATCTTTGTTCTTTTTCTTCTCTTCACGGCGGTCTTTTACCCCCTCCTTCTCCCTCCCGGTCGTGAACCCGTGTCGCCTGCTGTGCCTGCAGAGACACGTTTTTTTCCTTTCTCCGACCCGTCCCTTTCCCTCCCTCCTCCCTCCCTCCCTCCTCCACCCTCCCCTGCCCGCTCCGTTGGCCGTGAGATTCAGCCAACGTCCAGACAATAACCGTGAGCGATGGCCGTTTCAGCACCCACCCCCAAGCTGGATCGCTACATTGTTATCCACGTTGCGACCACTTGCGACGAACATGGAGTCTACGTCACTAAGGACTCTGCTGAAGTGATTGAGTTGGGGTGGATCTTGTTGGATACCAAAACCTGCGAGGAGGTACGTCGGCTTGATTATTTTATTATCTCTCATTCATCCATTCATTGCCCCAGCCTTTTCCCCCCTCCTCCTTGACAAATTCCCCCTCTCTCGGATGCTTATCTGCCGTGCTTCCTTCATCAACCGAGACCACTCAACCCCCCCCCCCAACAAGAGAATCCTCCATGATGTGCTGACACTGTTTCCTTCCTCGGCTTAGTTGCACCATGAGAGCGTTCTTGTCAAGCCCGTCAACACCCCCATTACGCCTCTTTGCAGTAAGTGCACCCCGTTCGAACGCAGCCTACCCAATCACCCAATAATGCCTTCCTCTCCTTCTCTCCGTACCTCACTCCGTCCCTCCGCATCCATCCGTCCCTTGGTTCAATGGCTGACGGTCTTTGAAAGCGAGCTTGACGACTCTGACATGGGAACACGTCCGCTCGGCAGGCACCTTCCGCGACGCCATCAACCGCTTCGACGCTTTCGCCCAGGAACACCTCATCAGCAAGAACCTGGAATTCGCCTTCGTGACGTTGGATTCATGGGATCTTCGTGTGCAGCTGCCCCGTGAGGCTCGGGACAAGGCAGTCGTGCTTCCGGCATACCTTCAGCACTCCCGGACATTCGACCTCCGCACCGAATACCAGCGATGGCAGACTCACCACCCCGAGTCTCTGCCCTTCGGCCCCAGCTCTCTCTCCAACATTTGCGCCGCCCTCGAGGTTGAGCCCGTTCAGTCTTCCGCTCCCATCAAGCACAACCTTCCCTTCCACCTGCAGGCCTTGGCTCCCGCCTCTCCCCGTCGCGCCATGGAGGAGGCTATCACCTTGGCCAGAGTGCTGCGCGGCTTGATTCGGAAGTCTCAGCCCCCGCATGAGCACCCCGAGATCCTCACCCGCCCCATGGATGCCAGAGCGGACGTTCGTGCCTTCCTGGCCGAGCGCAGCAAGGTTCTTCATCTGAGCGGACTCCCCCACGACACCACTCAGTCCGAGCTGGAGAGCTGGTTCACTCAGTTTGGCGGTCGTCCGATCGCGTTCTGGACCCTCCGCACCCCGGATCAGCACAAGCCTACCGGCACCGGCTTTGCGGTCTTCTCGTCCCACGAAGAGGTATGAACTGGCTTGCTATGTTTCACTACCCTAAAACCATAGACCAGATATCTAATTTGTTTCCACGCAGGCTGCCGAGAGCCTTTGCATGAACGGCCGTGCTCTGAACGAAAAGGCCATCGAGGTGTCTCCTTCCTCCAGCCGTGTCCTGGACCGTGCCGCGGAGATCTTGACGCCTTTCCCTCCCTCCAAGAACCGCCCTCGTCCTGGCGACTGGACTTGCCCCTCATGTGGATTCTCGAACTTCCAGCGCCGTACTGCATGCTTCCGCTGCTCGTTCCCGGCTATGGCCGCTGCCCCCGATCCGATGGGATACGGCTACGGCTACGGCCCCCCGTCCATGATGCCTCCTCACATGGGCCACGGCCACGGAATGGGCCATTCCCGCGGCATGGGCGGCAACGGCGGTGTGGTGCCTTTCCGTGCTGGTGACTGGAAGTGTGGCTCCGAGGGCTGCGGTTACCACAACTTCGCCAAGAACATCAATTGCCTGCGTTGCGGTGCTCCTCGGTCTGGAGCAGCAGTGGTGGCCGACTCCGCTTTCCCGTCCCCGATGGATCCCCCCTCGAGCTTTGGCATGGGCCCGAACTCCATGACCAGCACCCCGGCTCCTGGTCCCTTCGCGGCTAGCACTGGTAGCTTTGGCGGTTTTGGTCAACAGTTTGCCGCGCCCCCCAACAACTATGCTGCCTTGCCTTCGGGCTTGGGAAGCGCCCCGGCCGCATACCCCCCTATGGGTCAGATGAACGCTGGTTATGGTTCCGCGAATGCTTCCCATTCCGCGGCCTCGTTCGCCAACCCGGCCGCCCAGGCTGCCTTCACCGGGGCTGATCACAACTCGTCGACCAGTGCGTCCAACGGTGCTTTCTATGGCAATGATGGCTCGAGCGATCCGTTTGCCTTCCTCTCGACGGGCTTGGGAGGTTTGACTGTGGGTGAAGATGCCCACTCTCGTCGCAACGGCGCCAGTGCGAACAAGTCCCCCGCGTAAAAAGTTATGACAACATTTTGTTTCAGCCGGGGACATTAGAGATTTGTTTTCTACGACGGTTCTCCCTCACGGTTTTTGTCCATATGGTGGTCTGGATATGTTGGTATATGTGACGGTTGGTATTCCGTTGATGCGCATTTGTATAAGGAATTCTGCAGTTCTGGTGCATTAGGTTGGGAGGAGCAGGCCGGTAGCGTGTCGTCGTTTCGTCCGATTTGGTCCTTTCTGTTTTTGCCTGGTCTCGCAGATTTGACGTCAGACCATTTTCGGTATGTCTTACTATTGTGTCTTTGCAAGCGATGTTTGAGGGTATAGAAGAAGACCGCCCGGGCAGGTGGGCCCAGGCGGTCCTATGCGCTTCTTCACCACCTGCTGGATCATCGTTTCGCGTTTGTTGTTGGTTCTCATTTCTTTTTTTCTTTCCTTCTTGGAGCGGCATGGGCTTCGCGCATTTCTCTCGTCATGGGCGCATACTCCTCCGGCGGAGGTGAGGAACTCCTGTCCGGCTAGCCGCGGCGCTGGCGAGGAAGGGCTCGAGCATGGCATTGCATTCTAGATATTGTCTTTTTTTTTCTCTTTTCCTTTTTTCCTTTTTTTTTATTTGTTGGCTTTCCGAGTTCATCTGCGCGCTTCGACAATAGGGATCATTGGAGAATCACGGTATTGATCATGGTTGGGATACAATGGAACGGACTCTGTTGGGGGTGTTGGGGTATTCCTTTTGAGCCAGCAAAATTTCAACCAGCTACGACGGATTTGGGACATCTGCGAGGCACATGGATTGGGAGTCGTGCGTGCGACAAGATTGTTCTGAGTGTCCATAATTCTTGTACTGTTCTTCATATTACTTATACTGTTCTCGTCTTGTGTTTACATATGCTTTCCCTGCGGGTTTTGTCGTTCCCTCCTTCAAAAGTCGAGACGTGATTATTGGTTTGACTAGCCCGATGCCTGCATTCTCTCGTATCGCCTTTCAGCGTGTGATGTACAGCATGGTTCGATCTCAGCTAGGCAGGGAGTCATGGGCGATTGGGGTGTAGATCAACTATATGAGGATTCTCTTTTTATCGAGCTTGTTGATATTTATGCATTGGTTGTCATGATCGATTGGTGGGTGATTAGGTCAGGGCCAGGATGAAATTCACGGTACCATTAGAGGGGTATTTTCTTATAATTTCCTGTTGTGGCCTAATTCTAGGTGGCTACTGTCTACTGCATGGAATATGCAAGCACTAGAGGCAAGAGTAGTACCAGTAGTAGGATGGTCGGGGAGAACCAGCAGGAGGGAGAGCGTCATGGCGGCTAGCCGCGCGCCAAGCGCTTGGGAGCTCTCAAGGCAGCGGCGGGCCTCGCGTCCACCTCCATCTGTCATCGCCCAGCCGGACACCGGACCCCAGCATTCTACGACCCAAGACTCCGAATTGTATCTATTTGACCTCCTACTTCCTCCCGTGAACTCCATTCCAGTCTCCTTTCTCTCAGAAACCCCTAATTTCGCCTACTGCCCATAATGTCTGGATATGACCGAGCTCTTTCAGGTAAGACAAGCTAGCTACTACCTTGCCTACGGGCCTGGTTTCTGAAGGGATTACCCATTCTAACCTCTTCGCAGTCTTCAGGTATGGATTTCTAGCTTGATGAAGCTCTAGCAAACACATTTTAACCCGCCCCCAGCCCCGACGGGCACGTCTTCCAGGTGGAATACGCCATGGAAGCCGTCAAGCGAGGTACGTCCAGCCCCTCCGACCCCAAGGGAATCCTCCCATCCATCAATCACATCATAACTCACCTATTCTCTCCCTTTGCATCTATCCAGGAACCTGCGCCGTCGGAGTAAAAGGCAAGGACGTGGTCGTTCTCGGCTGCGAGAAGCGCTCCGCACTGAAGCTCCAAGATACCCGCATCACACCGTCCAAGATCGCCATGGTGGATAACCACGCCGTCCTGGCTTTCGCTGGTCTGAACGCCGACGCCCGCATTCTTATCGACAAAGCCCGTCTAGAAGCTCAGTCCCACCGTCTGACCGTCGAAGACCCCGTCACTATCGAATACATTACGAAGTACATTGCTAGTGTGCAGCAGCGGTACACGCAGAGTGGTGGTGTTAGACCCTTCGGTATCAGTACCCTGGTCGTCGGGTTCGACCCCAATGATAAGACGCCCCGGTTATATCAGACTGAGCCTTCGGGGATTTATTCCGCTTGGTGGGTGTTCCTCCTATGCTTTATGTTGATCATGTGGGGAAGAGTTGAAGCTGACTGATGGTTCCGGGATATTAGGAAAGCAAATGCTATCGGACGCTCCAGCAAGACTGTGCGCGAGTTCCTCGAACGCAACCACCAGGATGAGATGGATCGGGAACAGACTATCCAGCTCACCATCAAGTCGCTGTTGGAGGTTGTGCAGACCGGTGCGAAGAACATCGAGGTGGCTATCATGTCGCCTGGGCAGTCGATTGAGATGCTCCCGGATGACCAGATCGAGGCGTACGTTAAGAGCATAGAGACGGAGAAGCAGGAGGAGGCGGCTAAGAAGAAGACGGGTCGCGGTGGCACCACGACGGCTGCTATCCTAACACGGCCTGGTGGCGGCGAGGGCAGTGAGTGAGAGCCGGGAGTAAGGTGGATGCCATGCCGTCCAAGTAGAGGCTACGTCGAACAAGCAACTATGAGACTCTCGTTGCGGAGGTGTGCTTTCTATCCGGTTAAATGTCTAGGGATCTTGCAAGAAGCGTTACGTCCTTTTTTCACGAAAATAAACTCCGTTATACTGTAATGCAGATGTGCTCCGGATATATATATGAAGCTCTAGGTTCCAGGTGATATACAGGAATTATTTAGGTAAAGTGTAGTAGTGTGTATGCATAATTTCGTAAAACTCGTTCATCGACCCCTCGTTTCAGGGTCTGGCGTCTAACCCAAGCGATCGGAAATATCCTTGAAGTTGAAGATGGAGCGTTCCTGGTGTCCGCGAACACGGTCGTCTTTGAGCATTCTACACGAAGGAATATCGTCAGTAAATCCCAGATCCATAAAAACAGTATCAGGGGGCACTCACCTGGCATCAATTCTCGCATCTTCACCCTCGACCTGCAACGTGGGCGTCGGCGTCACAGCGTCAATCACGAAATGGTTATCGCAGTGCGGGCAGTATTCGTCACTAAACCCAGATAAAATAGGTGTCAACTAGTCAATCCAACCATTCGTAACCTCTTCTACCCCTCCCCCTTTATCTTCCTCTCTCTCTTTTTATAGTTATGGGCCAGCCCCTCCGGTTTATCATCCCAGTAACTAAGGGCAGGTGTGGGGGCGGGTGACGACGACCGGACGCACCTCTCATCAAACTCCGTCGCGTCCTTCCGGAAACATTTCTTGCACTTCTTGCAGGCGAAGACCTAGATTTTTGGATTCATTTGGTTGGTGATTTAGGGTTTGTGGTAGGTAGGTAAGGTAGTAAAAGTACCATTTCAGTGGTTTTGGTGAGCGAGTGCGATTCTTGTTCTTGGTGGCATTCGGCGCAGTCGAACCATTTTTTGCCTGTCACGGACACACCAGGAATAATTAGATTTGGTTTTTGAGGAGAAGGGGGGGTTAAAGGGGGGATGAGGGCTTACAGCAAGGAGAGCGGATGGCCACTTGGGCGTTCAGAATGTGTTTACTGGATTTTTGAGGATTATTGGTGAGTTGGGTTTCAAGCTGATGAGTAGAGAGGATGGGAGGTGAGGGGTATGGTTCATACCACATTTTCTAAAGTTTATACACGGGGGGGGGGAATAGGGTATAGAAGGAGAGAAAAGTAAATATAGACAAGTTTCAAAAGACACAAAGATGTCTTGAATGTGGTGGGAAGTTGGAGTAAAGTATGCAGTGGTTCAGGTCGGGGGGGAGGCTAAAAATAAAGAACGATTGATGGATGGATCCATCCATCCATTCATTCATTCCTCTCCCTCCATCAATGCATATCACGCGCGGGTCGATCATCGCCTCGCCTCGCTGGGTTTCTTTTCTCTCTCTCTCTCTCTCTCTCTCTCTCTCTCTCCCCTTTCCTTTCCTTTCCTTCCCTACTAATACTACCACTTACTCCTCAACTTCCTCTTGTCGGTTTGGGTGACTTCATCTCCCGGTGATTCCTCTCTTTTCCCGCCTGTCCTCTTCTTGTCTCTTCCTTTAACTCTTCCTCCTACTCTTCCTCCCCACTCTAGTTTGGATCCCTCCCTTCCTCCGTCCTTCCCCCCCTCTCTCTCTCCACACATTCATTGCTCAATTCCTCCCATCGCTCCGATTTTCATCTGATATTGTCCGTGTCATCCTCCACGTCCTCCGCAGAGTAGGATCACCAGCTCTAGACCCTTATTATCCCTGCACGGCGTCTTGTTGTCTCTACTGCTCCCGAATTCCTTCCGCCTAAACTGGAGCTCCGCCACAATCGTCAGTCCCGGCTCAACTCCCTGCTACCCGTTATCTTATCCAATCTGGCCATTAAATTTACTGTGCCATTTCTCAGCCTCTCCCCAGTGGTAGTCTGCATTCATCGCAATTGGCGGAGCCTATGATCCATTCCTTTTCTCGGCCTGTTTGTTGGATTCGCTGTTGTGGCCATGGAGGGAAACGGCAAGCAAAAGGACGCCACGGATAATGCTCCGATTGTACGTTTGCGCCGGCCACTCCCCCCGCTGTTCTGGAGCTTCATACTAATCTACTGGCTTCTGTAGAGACCGGTGTCTTCCCTACTTTCGCATTTCGAGAATCTTTCGCATCGTCGGGCTCCATCCGCTGCTACAAACGGTTCACGCGATCCGCCGTCCTTTTTGAGAACGCCCGAATACGGTGATGATATCCGCTCCAACAGAGCCTCTCTTGATCTACCACGTCCACGCTCTCCCTGGGGCTCAGTGCCTGAGGTGGAGAGGAGTCACAGCATCGTACATGGCAATGGTCTAGCCCCGCACGCTGAATCCCCCGGGATTTCCCCGGGCAGACGGCAGAACAGACCCATGTCGATGAACCTCCACTCGTCGCCGCAGTTGGCACCGACTCTGACGGTCGATTCACCACGGTCTCCGCCGCGCGGGTTTGGAGCAGACCATGAGGAGGAAATCAGCTCGTCTCGCACCCCGCCGAACGCTTCCCGGGAATCGCTGCCTACCATACCGCAAGGGATTCCTCCTGCTCATCGACCAACCACCCCCGTCTCTGCGTCTTTTCCTACGGAGAGTAAAGCAGATCGTTTGTCGCCAGGCACATCAGGCTCCCTGGCAAATGGACGCGAGAGCCCATCGGAACGCAAAGGCAAGAGCGTTTCCCTTCCCCCGCCTGCTAACCGGGCGGAGAAGCCCAAGATCCCCGCCAAACCGGCGGCATTGTCACACCACGAAGCCAGCTCTCTTGCTCCACAGCTTGAGCGTGCGTCTTCGGAAGATCGCGTATCGCCGTTCAGCACTCCTCCGAGCAGTCCCGAGAAAACGTCCCCGAAACAGCAACCTCACACCAGAGCGGTACCAATTCCGCGCTCGCCCTCCCGGCGTTCGCCAGCCCGTCCAGTACCTGGTCTTCCGACGCACCGGTCACTTGAGGAGAGGTCCCCCGCTCCTCAGCCAAGTGTACATCGAGAGCCTTCGCTGAGGCGGCCAATTCCGGAGCCTCCCCGGGAGACGAAGCCGCTTATGGTCCAGATTCCTTCCAGGCAGTATGTAGCGCCGGAGCCGCTGGCAAGCGCCCCGCTCTCCAACTACAGGCCCCCGATGCATGATCCTCAGGAGCGCCCCGGACTGCCTCCCCGACAGCCATCTCTGGCACGAAGGGGCGGTCCGTCACCGTCGCGGCATTCGTATCAGGTGGAAAGCCCGGCGTTCTCATTGCCTCCCCCGACACCCTACCGCGAATCTCGGCCCCTTTATCGAGACGAACTACCCACTCCGACGCATGTCTCCCGACAGCCATCCATTTCCAGAGAGACGAGGCCCCTTTATCGAGATGAGTTGCCAACCCCGACGCACGTATCCCGGCAGCCGTCCATTTCCAGGGAGACTAGGCCAGTGCCGCCCCCGGCTGTCCCGGAGCGCCCGATGCCAGAGAGGCCTATGTCAGAGCGTCCTATACCAGAACGGCCTGTGGTGGAACGTCAAGCTGTTCGCCCTATTCCCAGTGAGGATGAGCAGGTCCCGGATGAGACGCCAGTTGCTCGCACGGATTATCCAGATGCGTCCAGTGCGAACAGACGGCCACCGCTGCTTAAGTCTGGGCCTCAGGAGATTCACACGCGGTACGATACGCGCCTCATGGATGTGTGTGGGAAGCATGTGTGCACGACCGGCTACATTACGCGGGTCTGGGATCTTACGACTGGAGAGCAGATTATGAGTCTTAGCCATGGTGAGACAGTCAAATGTCTGTCGGTTGCATTTAAGCCAGGTTTGGGTCTGGAGGATGAAGGCCAGCGCTTATGGTTGGGCACAAACTCCGGGGATCTGCACGAGGTCGACATTGCAACCCGGTCCATTGTCGCATCGCGGTCTTACCCTTCTCGACGGGAGATTGTCAAGATCTTGCGGCATAAGAAGGAAATGTGGACCCTCGACGATGAGGGTCGGCTGCTGGTATGGCCGCCAGATGAGACTGGAACGCCGAATCTCCAGTACAGTTACCACAACCCTTACGATCGGGTTGCCCGCGGGCATACGTTCTCGATGGTGGTTGGGGACCTTTTGTGGCTGGCTTCCGGCAAGGAGGTGCATGTCTATCAGCCAAATGCTCGTGATGATGTTTCGTTTAAGGTTCTCAGCAGGCCATTGGGCTTGCAGCATACGGGAGATGTAACTTCAGGTGCTTATACTACCAAGGATGGTGGACGTGTATATTTGGGTCATGCAGATGGCAAGGTGACCGTATACTCAGCCCACGACTACACCTGTCTGTCTGTCGTCAATGTCAGTGTCTACAAGATCAACTGTCTGGGTATTGTGGGAGACTATCTGTGGGCAGCATACAAGACCGGCATGATCTATGTCTACGATACATCTACGAATCCGTGGACGGTGAAGAAAGATTGGCGTGCTCATGATAGCCCTGTCAGCGGGTTCTTGCTTGATTCTAGCAGCGTGTGGACAATGAACCGATTGCAAGTGACTTCGCTGGGAGACGACAACTGCATCCGTCTTTGGGACGGCATGTTGGAGGATGATTGGTTGGGTAAGTGGCTGCGATTGTCCGACTGATATGAGCTAACACCTTTTAGAAACCAGGATGCAGGCCAGAGACGTGGAATTTTGCAAGTTCCGTGAGATTCAGGCGGTAATCATGACCTGGAACGCCGGTGCTTCTACCCCTGGAAGCGTGCGCACATCCACTTTTATCCAGGATGCGATTCATCCTGAGAACCCACCAGAAATTTTGGTGTTCGGCTTTCAGGAGCTGGTGGACCTTGAGAATAAGAAGATCACAGCCAGTACGTATACCACTGACTTTGTTGGGTGTAGCTAACTCCGTCCAGAGAGTCTGCTCCTCGGGAGTAAGAAGAAGGAGCACGGCGATAAGGAACACATGAGTCGTCAATACAGGGTGTGGATGGAGCATCTAACCCGCTGCATCAATGACTGCATGCCGCTTGAGGAGTCGTATGTGCTGCTGCATAGCGCGAATCTGATCGGTCTCTTTACGTGTGTGTTTGTAAAGCACAAGGAGCGCCAGCGGATCAAGAATATCGGTGCTTCGGAGATTAAGCGCGGTATGGGAGGGTTGCATGGAAACAAGGTAGGCTCAAGTTCTTCTGGTTGCTGTCAGTTGCTGATTGCTGATGGCTGTAGGGTGCACTTATACTCCGCTTTGTCCTTGATGACAGCTCCCTCTGCTTTATCAACTGCCACTTGGCAGCTGGTCAGACGCAGACGGCTCACCGCAACAATGATATCGCGGCGATTCTCGAGGCGGAGTCGCTTCCCGCGGAGAACAGTCTCGCAACTCGCGCGAATCACTACGTGAGCGGTGGCGATGGCTCAATGATTATGGATCACGAGATCTGTATTCTGAACGGTGATCTCAACTACCGTATCGACTCTATTCCACGGAACGTGATCATCGACGACATCCGCAGCAACAACCTGACCAAGCTACTGGGACGCGACCAGTTGCTGGCCTCGCGACGCAAGAACCCCGGCTTCCGTCTGCGTTCCTTCAACGAGGCACCCATCACGTTCGCACCGACATACAAATACGACGTCGGCACCGACGAGTACGACTCCAGCGACAAGAAGCGCGCACCCGCATGGTGTGACCGAGTTCTCTACCGTGGACTAGGCCGCGTCCGTCAACTAGAATACCGCCGACACGAAGTCCGCGCATCCGACCATCGACCAGTGAGCGCTACGTTCAAGCTGCGCGTCAAGACAGTGCTACCGACTGAGCGAGCCGGAACCTGGGAGTCATGTCAGCAAGAGTTCCAGAACGAGAAGCGCCGACTTGCATCAGAAGCGAGGTGAGACATACCATAAGATCCGTGATAGGGCCACTGGTTAATAATAGCAGCATCGAATACCTAATCACTGTTCTCGGAACGGACCCTCAACAGGCGCGGGCCCTGATCTTGGGCAACGGGAATTGATGGCTTGCTGGTAGTAGAGTGTGTTGGTGCTTGGGAGTAGACAGGCCGAGGCCATGTGTATGACTAATGAATCACGATAGACATGTATTATGACGGGGATTAGAACTACCCGGGCATATATTAATGGAGTGTATATAACAGTCCTTTT